CGTGCCCCTAAGCAAAAAACTCTCCAAAAAAAAAAAAAAAAAAAAAAAAAAGGCCTGGACAGGTTTGAACTGTGCAGTGGAAGTGCACACTGATTCAACTACCACCCTGCTGGTATTTCTGTGGCAGGCAAGGAATACGGAGTCCCGCACCTCGAAAAGCTCCATTGCCAGTCGTGGCGGAGACCCAGCAAAGTAACAGAGCAGGAGGTAGAAAGGTCACCTGAGTCCCCAGCAGAGCCAGCAGAGCCGGCAACAGCCCGGGGCACGGGGATAAGCTGCAGACCCACGCTGCGACTTGGCTATTCCAAGTGCTCAGAGCCCGCTCTGGGCCCAGATCCCAGCACCATGACAAGGAGGCCCGTTCCAGAACTTAGGTACATGCCTATTAAGAATACTTAAGAATTTTAAGAATATTAAGAATAACTGCTACGAACAGAAGGGGCTGCGCAGTCATTTCCTGAACTAAATCTTGGGCATCAGATAGTCTGAAGCATAGAATAAACTTTCAAAGTGATTCAGTGACTACATAATAGTTTACAGCAGAAATGTCAAATCATAAAGAAACGTTCCCTCGAAATGTCTGTGCCAACAGGAAAACAAGGTCTGCAGGCAGCCTGGCCGCCCAGCACGTGTGCGGCATCCGCATCAGGGAAATAAGAAAACTCACTTACCATCGGGGAGTTCGTCTGCGGCCTGCGTGCCACACAGAACCGTTCCGCTGTAGGGAGGAAGCTGCACAGGGAATTGGAAAACAAAGTTCAAGTCATCAAATGTTACACCCAACAATGCTACTTCATTACAGTGACATTTCAGTCAACTCTCTATCCACTCAAGTTCTTTTCATGTCGTCACTTCTGTGACATCACTCAGTAAATCTAAGCCATCCTTATTTAATTTAGAGGGGAAAAATCTACAGGAAAGTTCTCAAATATTTATCGTGATTAAGCAGATCCAAAAATGGGGCCAAAAACATCCAAATGAACTCCAACGGATATGCAAATCTGCAACAGTGAGGTCTGACACTAGTGACCAACTGTAAAGACCACAGGCCCTTTCCACAGGGTATGTGCACTTGCCAGGGAGACACAGTGAGTGAGAGGGCAAGTGAGAGACCTCCCCAGGGAGGCTGGCCAAGCCAAAACCCCTTCTCCTTCATTCTCCTCCTGGAATTTTGGGCATGCATGCACATGCACCCCGTGTTCAGGATTCGAATGGCGATCAGCCACATGGGAGTCTAATGTCTTAAACACCGTGCCACCTGCTGGCCCCCACAGGCCCTTTTCTTTGTCCACTAGTTAAACAACAGTCCGCCATCTGCAGTTCTCTCTCCTCGACACTACACTGCAGTGTGACCAGTGGAGACACCAGGAGAGCAGATGAAAGCTCCCTAGAAAGAAAAAGGCTGAGAATTGCTGTTCCCTTTTAACACCATGCCTTAAATAACTACGTTCATAGTTACAAGTCACAGTCCTTATTTAGCAATGCTTTGTGTGGACACGTCTGCAGTAAGAAAGTCTAGGGATGGAGGACCAGCAGGTGATGTCGTGGTTAAGATGCTGGACACTCCCACATGGCCGACCTTGGTTTGAGTCCCGGACCTAGCAGCTTGCTTTCTCACTTTCTGTCTCTCTCTGGTCAAATTAAAAAATAAGAACAAATTTTAAAATTAAATGTAAAAATAATTATTTTTTAAAAAGTCTAGGAAGGGAAGGGGTAAGGGAAACAGTGCTACCTGGAGGCAGAGCAAAGAACTAAATCGCAACACCCAGGACAGCGCTGCTCACATCTGCTCACTGCACCGTGGCCCAGGCGCCTGCGTGGGCCCAGGGCCTGCCATGCGCCAAGGCTCCTGGGAGACGCTCCTGGGAGACAGTCAGGCCACTGCTGACTAAGAACTGCTGAAGTGGTTTGCTCAGCTTTCTCCAGCACACTGCTGGCGAGCCAGTCCAGTAATCAGTGAAAGCTGAGCTCTCCAAGTAACCTGGTTAAGGCTATCCCCAGACGATTAATGACAAATAGGAAACCAAGAAAATTCAGGATGGGATGGCCCTGCAGCCTGGGGGTTAAGGGAGCAACATTCCAAGCAGCGGGTCATGGCTCGAACTCAGCCCTGGCTTGAAAAATACAGCAGGTATGTGTGAGTGTCTGCCCCAAAGCCCAGCAGGCTAGAGAAATGGAGGACACTGCCATGGGACAATGTCCCACTGGGGGTGCTTGCTCACTCTCCCCCTGCGGGGTGCAAACGCCATCCAGCGGAGAGGGAAGGAAGAGAGAGAAGAAAAAGGAAAAAGCTGGCACACAGAATGCCGTCTCTGTGCTCTCAATGGCAGCGTGGTGCCCCCTGGTGACAAAGATATACTATTTGGAGGTACAGAAAGTGTCCTGAATCGCTCGTACGCAAAACCCCGAAACGTCAGAAACACTATTATTTTTGAGCCAGTACAATATAGAGTCCCATAATCTTATTTATTAGAGAAAGTCCTCTTCACACTTGCAATCTGTTCTGCTTGGGGAACAAAACAGCTCTAAAGAGAGTCTCAAATCTTCTTTTTGGGAGAGAGATTTTTGTTATAGGACACGAGTCCTCAGACCTGAGAGTGTGGCAGGTTGGGGAGAGCCACAGTTCAGACAAGGGACCTGGCACTTATCCATTTCAAACCCCAAAACAAAGCACTGGGCTGTCGACAGTGGTCTTTCAGAACGTTCAGCCACAGTACTATCAAAACTTGCCTAAACCGGGGCAGGTAGGCGGTATGGTGGTTAAGGGCACTGGACTCCCACACGGCTGACTGCAGTTCGAGTCTCGGACATGGCAGCTTGCTTTCTCACTTTCCTTCTCTCTAACTCTCTCTCACTGTGTCCCTCTCTGGTCAAATTAAAATAAATAAAGTTAAATAAAACAATTCTTTAAATAAAAAAAAAAAGTTGCCTAAACCTGGGGCCAGCAGATGGCATATCACTGGACTCCCACGTAGTCAACCGCAGTTCGAGGCTTGGACCCGGCAGCTCAAAACAAACCAGGAGCATGTGCATGTGTGCCCAAAATCGTCAGAGAAGCAAGGAAGAGAAAGGATTGCAGCATGGTCACCCCCCCAGGGGGCTAATTTCTCTTTTCTATCTCTCCAGCAAGTGCACGCACCCTCCAAAAATTTCTCTTTAAAAAATAAGTAACTTGCGTAAACTCACTCCGAGCAACACGTGTAAGAAAAACGCCATCACTCTGTGGTGCAGGCCGACCCCTGCAGCACAGCAGTAACCTGGGTGCCCTACAAGGCGGGGAGCCAGACAGGCAGCTTTGGATCCAGCAGTTAGCCTGAAACATACATACCCAGTGTGTGCCTGGGTACCCAGGAACCAAAGAGCTAGAGGGTGGAGAGAGGAGGTCACACTGTGATGAGACCTCATTGGGGTGCTTTTCCCTCTCTTTCTTCATAAATCCATTTACCATCATTAAAAACACAGCTGTTAAGGCGCCGGACTCCCACATGCCTGACCACAGTTCAAGTCCCGGACTCGGTGGCTTGCTTTCTCACTTTCCTTTCCTCTTTCTCTCTGGTCAAAGTAAATAACAATAATAACAACAACAACAAATAAAATTAAATAAATAATTTGGGGGGGGGAGGTTTTTGTCATAGGATGCGTGCATATGCCAGAAAGACAGGGAAAGACAGAGACAGAAAGCAAGCAGTCACCTCCCAGGAGGATGGCCACTCCACAACTCCTTTTCCTCCATTCTCCTCTTGAGATCTTGGGCATGCACGCACACGCTCCCGGCGTGAGTTTAAGCTGCCAGGTCTAGGACTCAAACCATGGTCGACTACGTGAGAGTCCAGCAACGTAACCATTACACCATCTGCTTGTCCCCAATAAAATAATTCTTTAAAAAATTTAGCTAAGTTAGATACAAATGGGCAGACAGCAGCACCACAGCCCTCACAAAGCATGTCTGACCCAGGAACAAGAAGAGATATCCTTCCTGTGCTCCCACTGTGCGCTCTGCTGTGCAGCCGGGCTCCCCCCCACCCCCGACATCCTATTAAGACTCAGAATGAACAGTGACTGTCTTGACGCTGCTTTATCAGTACACATGCCGCACACACACCGACAGCCTGAATTACAGCACTGAGGGCTCGCTGGTTCAGTAACGGTTGATGTGTGTTGTTCCTAGCACTGAGGTCATGGAAATCTTCAGGAATAAAGAGTACTTCCGTCCTATTTTGAACATCATTACCAGGACTATGACCGGAGCTCAAACGTGCTCATTAAATACGGTGATAGTGGGTTCAG